TTTTTTTTTTTTTCAGTATTTGTTTAGGGGCAGATTTAGAAAATTTAATTGGGGGACTGAATAATTTTCGGTAAAGACATAGTTTATAAAAAGACAAAGTTGCATTTCTAGAATAGAAAAGAAAAAAAAAAATAGTTCAAGAAAATACATATCGTTCAAACTTTGTGACTGTTAGAATTGTGTTCGACGTTCTCTCAAGTCACGAAACCTATCGAGGATCACTCGGTAGTAATAGATCTTGCAATTTCCCTTTCAACAAAGATAGTAAAAGAATTTACGAGAAAGTCATATTCAATTTTATTTCGAAGTTTGGATTTAAGTTAATTAAAATAGTTTAATTAGTTTCATTAATAAGGAAATAATATACCGCTATATATAATTGCAGAATACGCTGAGCTAAGTGGCAGTCTCGCACGATTCGTAATTCTACTTGGCAAAAAAACATGCTTCGTAGTTTGACTTGGACAAAAAATAATATTATTTTGATCAATAAATTTAGGTTCGGACATTCCAAACATATTAAAAAACTAACTTGGTAATCCCATTATAGTTAGACTAATATAACCTTTAAGTTGTATTGAAACCTTTGGTAATGGTATTGATCGACTAATATAATATTGATTTCTTTTGGAAGCTCTCAATCGGCTCATTAAATTCTATGAAAAAATTCAAATTAGTATAATAAGTACATATATTTTAATTTTAAACAATTATTGTTGTTATTATTGTTTAATTTTAAAAATAATTTTCTTATAAAGTACCGTGTAGTACACGTGTATTGTACTAGTAATACAATACAATAAAAGGTGGAAGTTAAATGGGCTTTATGTGTTATCTTTTAAACATATCTCTAATGGGCCTTGTCTTGTGTTAGTCAACCTAATCAAAATCAATAAATCATTAATTAATTGATTAATGGGGACAATAATAACTAAACATATTTAATTTAATACATTAAATATATATTTAGGTAAATAGCAAAAAGCTTGGGGGAACAATGTCCCCCCCCCCCAACACTATACGTGCGTCCGCCTCTGATTTCTTTCCATGTGCATGGTCTGTTAAGGTTCATGCTTTTGTTGCCCAACGTTTGGAATAATGTGTTGCTTTAGACTACGGACTGCTTTAACTCTCCTCTCGGGTTGCTAAAGAAAGAGCAAAATAAGCATGCTCCCATCGATTGTCATTCACTAAGCAGCCCCCAAAGCATCCCAAAAAGTGTATCCCTTTCCTGCTTTTTCTTTTGTTCTTGATATTGTTGGGTTCATTGGAGAACACTCGCTCATCGTGCTTTGAATTGTTTGAGAATCTAAAAAAAGAATCCTACACGCAGAAGAGTTAACAATCGGATTTGAATTTTATCGTGTAAAATCCGACTCTGTACAGACTTATACGGTCTACGAGACTTGACGAATAGGTTGACCTCACGTCTTTTGTTGTATATCTCGAATGCTCTCCATGCTCATCTTTACGGGTGACGACTGCTCGACTCCACGTCTCAAGTCTCACGCACGTTCGATGTCGGGAAAGAACAAAAGAGACTGAATTGTCTTCAGTTTTCTTGCTTAGATGTCACGCCATCCCTCACGTTTCTCTTAAACGCATGAGAAAAGCTGAAAATTTTTGTGATTAATGACGTGTCTAAGCGAGAGAAGAGTTCGGAACTTGGTGTATTTATGGACTACAACAGGAATGAAGAGGTGTTAAATCAGAACTCCCGGTGTGAATATGATACGTCACGCGAGATCACTAGATCACTGCACAAATTGCATGATGCTCGGCCTACTAGCACACAACCCGTGGATTGACCATACCCTTGCTGGCTGGTACAGGCGAGTTTTCTCGCATACCGGTCGACACCGACGACCACCACCAACTTGCAGGTGTTTTGTCGAGCCAGTCAACGAAAAACTTTTCTAATCGGAGAGGGCTTGGATTTGTACACGCCCCTGTTCGGCGGTGTGTGCTTACAACCTACGCACCATTACTGGGTTGTAGCCTGCCAGCCATCCACAATTCATCACGAGCAAATTTTGTCATCTAGCTATTTTCTCTAGACCATCTAAGCCTTTTGGCCTAAGTCCTAGCTACCCATTGCATGCCCTGGCATTGCCGACAATGATCTTCGGTTATTAGACACGCATCGGATGCCTAGACAACCGTGCTCCATCGCTAAGACCCGCAACAAGGTTGCCTTGTCGAGGAATCTACGGTCTTCAATCGTTCATCGTCTGGTAAACTGCGCTCGTCGTATAAAAAAAAAAGTTACAAAATCTTTGTCCTATGACCCATGCAGGGGTTTGGATGCTTGATCTAGAAAGTGGTAAACTATATGGTGTTCCATCGTGTGTTTAAATCTATTATAAACAATCACCAACCCAAAATTCCCGACATGTCCATGACTTTAAAAACACATACATGAACTATAAAATCATACACTCACGTGGCCATTATAGTGGATCTAAGAACCCTGCAGTTCAAGCATGCAATTCTACACTATGCAATGTACGTACATTTTTCATGTATGATATCTTTCGATCATTGCACAATAACCGAAATAACCATGGCTCTAATACTAATTGTTCGATTTAGTGATGAACGTTCTCTGTTCGTGCTTTGAATCAACTGAGAATTTAAGAAAAGAATTCTACGCACAACAGAATAACAATCGAAATCGAAACTTACCGTTTAAATTGCAGACTCTGTATTGACTTACACAGTCTACGGGACAGGACAAACAATTGACGTCACGATCTTCTGTTGTATATCTCGAAACCTCTCCAAACTCATCTTTATGGGTGACTACTGCTCGGATCTTCGCGTCACAAATCACACCCACGTTCAATCTCGGGAAGAACAAAGAAGACTGAATTGACATCAATTTCTTGTCCAGATGTCACACCATCCCTCACGTTTATACTCTCGTGTTTTTACATGAGAAAAGTAAAAAAAATGTCGTGAAATGTCGTGTCCAAGTGAGAGAAGAGTTCGAGACTTCGTGTATTCATAGGCTACAACAGAGACCAAGATGAGATATTAAATTAGGACACTCCATGTGAAGAGGATACTTCGGCTTTGGTCCACCTGCAAACATCATACACGAATGATACTTTATTCCACTAGATAAATATTAATAAACTTTCAAATTCAACCTCGAGTTACAATTAATTCATTTTCAAATTTATCTATTCGATTTATCTCCATATGCTTAAAATATAACGTCAATTGATTAACTTAACAATATAATTAATCAACTTAATTTATCAAAAATTAGTATCATTAAACCTTTTTTTTAGTTAAGCCTGTGTATTTGTTTGGGATTTTGAGTGACGGTTATAGACTTTTTGAGATTTGAGATTTTTTAAGGGAGGTGTAATTTGGATTTCTAAAGACATTAGAAATCCTGATGTATTCAATTTAATTTTGTTAAGATTTTTAAAGTCTTGGGGTATTCAATTGTGATTTTAAAAAGTCTTACAAAATCCTGACGTATTTAAGTTATTTGAGACTAGGATTTGTTAAAACTTTTAAGACCTGGTGGGATTTTTAAATAAAAGACTTTATACAAAATCTCACTTTAAATCCTACCTCTAGACTAAGGATTTCACCGAATTTATGTGGAAATCTTAACAAATCTCAAATTTTAAAAAGTCTCAAAATTTCACTTGAAATCCCAATTGAATACAAGATTTTCGGACTTTTGAGGAATCCTATGAAATCTTAAGTGTGTAGTGAGATTTGGAATGAGATTCCGTATATGTTTTGTTATGAAATCCCAGCGAATCTTAAATTCTTAACAAATTCTGGTATCAAATAATTTCAAACTCCTCATGATTTTGTAAGACTTTTTAAAATCCTAAATGAATACATGAGAAGTCTAAATTAAATACACCAAGATTTCTGATGTCTTAAATTTTTTTTTAAAAGTTTATAGAAATCTCAATTGAATACACTCATCCTTAATCTACTTACAGAGTTTAGCATAATGAACTTTTGAGCTCATTTTGGGGACGTATCAACCTGGCGCACCAGAACACAATTACCGCAAATAATTTTAACGACACATCATCATATAGTCGAAATTATTTACCAAAACACCGAAGCTATCCATTATTATAAATCTAATTATTTGGTAAATAATAACCGAATACATATGTCTATATATTATCTTACGGTTAAGTGAACGCAGTAATAACTGAAATCTGAATTATTTGGTCAGTATAAACTAATTTTACCCTATGTGATTCGTTAATACATACGAGATGTACTAGTGTACTGCACTATCTAAAATAAACTAATTCAAAATTACACTACAACTTTTCACGATAGTTTGTTCAATTATATATAGGTTGTGAACCAAACTTTGTATTTTACAACGAACCAATATGATATTCTATTCGACCTATTGAACCAAATTCTACAATATAATATAAAGTAACTATGTTTTCATGTATAAATAAACTTCAAACACGCACTTTTGACTAAACATGATTTCTCATTCAAAATATGTTGGATATGCGTTTATATACAAAGCCGAGCTTTCAGTATGCAAACCAACAAATATGACTCTAATCAAATGCATACATTTGTGTCATACTCTGTAGATGTATTCTATTTGTGTTTATCACTGAAGTATGGAACAAGATGATGGAGGCGGCAAAGTTATAGAGTAAAATCTGAGAATAGAACAAGGAGATCCCTGATATGTGCTGCGAAATCCATGTCTACCCAATTAAATTGTGGTTACAAAATCAGGAACCAATATCATAACTAGTTTAATTTTATACGACAGTTTTATTTAGCAAGCGGCACCTCTCTTTCTTTGTTCTTAATTTTCTTTAATTTAATAGAGTTCTTTGAAGTTGTATTCAACCTCTTTTGCTTGCATCCGGAGAAGCATGTGCTCAGAGGCAGAGAACAATCAACAATAAAAGGGCATCGTGGAAATACATTTTACTTCCCAATGAATTCTCTTTCTCAAGATTGATTAAGATTAATCTTGTTCTCAATCGCCACTTTCAGATGGACTTATTATAAAAATTAAATATACGTCGGTGAAATGGATATCGATAATCAACTGTTACCTTTTCCATTTTTAGGAGTTTCTAAAACTCTGAAAGTGATGTATCTACCTCAGTAGCTCTTATGCAGTGTTCTTTATGTTTGACAGATACAGAAGGAAAAGACAATGAGTGCTGTTCACAAATCCAAACACTTGCTGGATAAGAATAAATAATAATTATCTAATTTAGTAACTTCCAACCTAACCATTGTGTTGTTTCCCATGTTCATCCTTTCAGAATTCAATATGATAGCATGAAGAGAGTGTTTAAACAAATGTTTCCATTGATTGGAAGTAGAAGATTTGTCACAGCACCGATAATCACGGAAAATGGCGAACCTACTCAAGATCCTATCGTACTTGGGCAAATTAATCTTGGAACAGAAACTGGTAATAATGGAATTCGAGTCAGCTTTCTTATTATAATGCAATGCAAGGTATACTTCAATTTAGTTACAACTGCAGGCTCATTACTGATTATTAATGAATCGATTTTTATATTGAACTAGCACCCACTGATCAACCTCCGTGCGATGGTCCTATGGATAAGAGAGAGATTAACTGGAAACTCACATTACATCAAATAGGTTGGTAATTACTGATTATTAATGAATCAATATCTGTGCTAATTCTGTGTTGTGAGTTTGTATTTTCTTATCTAATTTATTTTGTGACAATTTTGCCAGGCCTTGACGTGGTCTGTACTGACCGAACGCTAAAGTTTTATGAGAACCAAGATAATTTGTCAAAACTCTGGGATATCCTATCTCTCTACTCGTGGTTTGATTCAGATGTCGGGTATGGTCAAGGTAGGTTTAAAAAATTTAACTTTCTTGTTAGGTTTACTTTTACTTATTCTCTCTATTTAAGTTGCCCTCGCCCTCCGTTTTTAGTTATAGGTTAGTTACAAAACTTTTGTCAACGTTTAGTCTAATTTCAAATAAATTCATCTATCCTTCAAAACTATTGATATGGGATATTATATACTGGACCGGTTTATAGGGTTAATCAAAGGAGACCGACCGATTTGTTGGACGGTCTAGTAAGGATAAGGTCGAATGGTATAGTCGAACAGGACCAGACACCGGCCATTAGAACATCGAGCAGATGACGACAGTAAAGGAGAGCAGAGGTGGTCGACAGATACAAGTCAGCTGAGCACATGGTCGAGAAAGGGCGATCGAGGAGACATAGACGCACATAACTGGTAGAGCATCGGAGCACATGGAGGAATCTCCAGCACATGAGGAGAAGGACACGCGGCGCATTGTGAGTGGTCAACAGCCGTAACCGACTCTGACATTCTCTGACAAAGGCGACGCGTTCTCTGACGTCATGGATAGAGGAGGCGCGCGACCGTACGGACAAGCAGAGGACGGTTAGACGAACGCACTCGCCTC